GCTCGGGGAGCCCGCCCCCCCACGCCGCTGCCGCCGTCGTCGCGGTGGCCCGGTCCCATCCCCTCCCAGGGCTCGCGCGTCCCGCCTTCCCCGGAGGACTCCCTCGCGGCGGGAGAGCCCTTTGGACCTCGAGGCGCCCCCAGGGTGGCCCAGCGGTGCGTGGACCCTGCAGGACCGCGGGGGACGTGAGGGAGAGAGCAGGGACCTGCCGAGGCCCGTGCGGGGGACCCCGGGGTGGAGGTGCACGGAGATGCAGGAGACCTGCCGAGGCTCCTGCGTGGGGACCCGGGCCGGAGGTGTGCAGGGAAGGACGGGGCGTTTGCCGAGGGTCCGGCTGTGCGCAGGGACCCAGGGGCGACCGGGATGCTGATTTATGGTTTATGCAGCATCTGACCCAAACCCAATCCTGTCTCTGTTTCCATTATTACTGGTGAAAGGGTGCGGCGTATGGTGGTGTTTTACGCAGCTGAATTAAAGGAAATGGAGATATCTTTTAAATGGAATGAACATTCTATGTTTATGTGTTTATGCATTGTTTGTTAAAACATGGAGAATATGTCGGAAGAGCAGCTTAATTCAAATCTCTCCCCTCCCCCGGCTCAAAACAGGGCACAGAAAAGTCACCATATCAGGATTTGTTAAACCACACAGATGTTCCCAAGATTTATATTTTAATGAAAACAATCGCCATATTTACTTACTTGGAGCCACATTAATTTTTCTTACCAGGATAAATAGGCAGCAGATTTTTGTTGCTCTTCCTCAGCTCTGCTCTTTGCAGGGTTTTTTCCCTGGAGCATTTGGTGCTGTGTGAGTGTGAATTGTAAAAGGTTTTCAGATTTCATGTGCAAACAAGAGCCTCATAATTGGCAGCCCCTTTCATTTTGTTGATTAATAATGTGTGCTTTCAATGAAATAAAATTTACGTTTGTTTCTCAGCATTAAGGAAGGTCTGGGTTTCCAGGAAGAGTGGGTCATTTTCTGGATATTACTGTAGTGCACTGATATTTGAAAATTCAGTAAATTCAATAAAAATGCTCCAATTGTTGTAAATTTTTAATGGACTGTCAGGGCTGATTATATTGATGGCCTGGTAACTTTTTACTTTCAGGGGGGCTTTCTCAGTGGTGAGAAGATGTATGAAAATCCCTACTGGTCAAGAATATGCTGCCAAGATCATCAACACCAAGAAGCTTTCTGCCAGGGGTAGGTGTTTGCAACTGTGTGTGTATGTTGATTTTGTATTTCTCATGCCCACTGTTGGTTCTCTTGTAAGCTTATAAGTAAGTACCTCACATAGTTATAACTGAATTTAGATTTAGGTAGTATGTTACATATTGAGATTAGTTCTTTCCTGAATACCTCTTGGTCTGTACAGTTCAAAAATAAATGAACAAATATAACTTAACAAATTTTTATAAAAATTCTATCTGCCCTATGAGCAATAACATAAATAACTATGTATTTAAGGCAATTAAATGTCACTGAGTGCATTTTGACTTTAGTTCTACTGTGAAATAGCTGAGGAAATTGCTGGAATGGAAAAACATATCCTCACAACTACCACCCCTTCTGCTTTTGAGAGGAAAAATCGGTCAGAGCTCAGGTGGTTCATAATTTCAATTGTAGTTACACGTGACCTTAATTCATCAAGGTATACTTAACACTAATGGCTTTGGGAGGAAAATTTGACTGCTATATTCCAGGACGTTCAGCTGATTTTGATGTTTCTATGTGTAGTTCAGACCTTTGCTTGGCCTTCTGCCTTGAGATTGCTCACAGACCGGGAATGTATTTTGCACATGCTTAATAGCCACAAGATAATTCATGCTCGTGAAATAGCTGTTGACATAAGCAAAAAACTTGGAGGGCTCTCACTGCACTCGTGTTACTTTGAACTCATGCAAAAGTACTTCTACTGAAATGTTAGGCATCCCAATTATTGTGAACATGTGTCTAAGGTATTTCCATGGGAATTTATGGTTTAATGAAAGAAAAATGAAATTAAAATGAACAAAATGCCATAGTGTAAGCCCATTTTAGTGACCTGGTTTATTTTATTTTAAGTAATGAGAAAAGAAATTCCATTAGGGTTTAATTTGTCTTCTAAAAAGTGTTGCTGCCTAGGTCTCTGATATCACTGTTTCGTCTCTGCCAAGATTTTCTGCTTTTTTTTGTTGCAAATCCCACTCTTATGTGGAATTTAGGTTTAGGCTGGCATTTCAGTGTATTCGTTTGGGTGGGATTTTATTGTGCTTCTGAGGAGTGTCTGTGCTCACGCAGGCCCCAGAGCAGAGCATGGCAGGAGGGCCAGGGGAAGCATGTGGGCTCAGTTATGTTCACTTTGTGCTTCTCCACCCAAAGGAAGCTTTTCTACGTAGAGAGGAGTTGCTAAACTGTTAATAACATTTTAATTAAAGAAAAAAAAGTAAAGGGTCCAACTCTTTCAGTGCTGGTTCTATCTCTTCGTGTGAGCATGTACACTTCGGGCTTGAGTGGGACACACTTCTTTCAGGCATCACAACACCTCCCAGATTTTTCAGTGGCTTTAGCTTTTCCCTCAAAGCAGATGAGTTGTGCTTCACTTGCTATTTCTTGAATTGGAGTCGTCCCTTGTCATCACCTGATGGATGCTGAGAGGAGACCCTCCAGGTCTACTCACATGCACTGGCTGCACTCTCCTGCCCTCTGCCTCTGATCTGCGGGAGCTCCTCCCAGCTTCTCTCCTGCTCCTCACCTGCGGTTCTCCCCTTAGAGAGCAGTCTGCACCCAAAGCCCCGTCGCCCCTTCTGGACAGCACGCTCCTCACCATTCCGATTAGTTCAGGAGAACTGGGTAGGGTGCGCGACAAGAAGACCAGCCCCCTGCTCTCCTCTGTCCTCACCTTGGACTGTGGGCAGGTTTCCTCACCTGCTTTGTGTTAACCTGCTGCAAGTGTAAATTCTCATTTCCCTGCCTGTTAGCTGCATGCTCTTAGGCACTTTATGTAGTTCCAGCGAGCCTCAATTCTCTCGCCTTTAAAATGGGGTAATACTGTAACACTTCCTTTTGTGGGGTATGTGAGGAGTGACCGAGTTAACACCATGTAGAACAGTGACTGCTCCATGATGTGAGTGGTTGTTAGCTGCTGTTATCTCATTGGTTGTGGTAAGCAGCCAGTGAGGTGATTTCTATGAAGGAAGATTAATCATAAACGCAGTGGCAGCTCTGATTGATTAGCTGTGGGAACCAAATTTGCATCTTGGCTCTACTTCTTAGTATATAAGACTGCGCAGGTCACTTACCTTATTTTGATTACAGGTTCTTCATCAATAAATGG